TCTGAATGACTGCATCTAGAGGTGTTACTAGGCACCAATGTAAACACTGCCTTTTCTCTATATATACAGTGATCACTGTGTGTGTCAGTGCATTTGTAGGGGTCACTGTGTGTGTCAATGAGTATGCGTGGGCTACTGTAAGCATGTAAATGCTTATATGCGTCACTGTGTGTGTTATTGCTTTTGTATTGATCACTTTGTATATTTGTCAGTCTGTATATAGGTCACTATCCATGTGTCAGAGAGTGTTTGTGTCAGGGTGTGTGTATGGATCACCTGTATCTCTGCCAGTTTGTGTGTGTGCATCAGTGACTGTGTGTCATTGCATTTGCATGGGTACTGTATGTGTGTGTCATTGTGTGTGCCAGTGTGTGTTAGTGTAAATCAGTTTGTTAGTATGTGTATCTGAGAGTGTATTTGTATTGGTCAGTGAAACTGCATGGCAGTTAATTTTTAAAGTGCATGTACATTCATTCCTCAAAAAGATTATAAGATATTATGTGTGTGTGTTACTTAAAATGAAAAGGTTTAATTAAGTTTAGTTTTAATGTATGTGACTGAGAGCACATATCCAGTTACAATCAAAATGATTACCTCCCCCCCCTCCCTCCATTAAAAATTAGGTTTATTGTCAACATTTACAGACTTTTAGCTGTTTGTAATAAACAAATCAAACAAAAGCAATCAAATAGCTCAATATTACAAATGCTTCAATTACTTCTCCAACCTCGAAAAAATTATTAAACTCCTTCATGGCAAGCATCTTTAGTATTTAGCAGAGCACCCTTTTGCTGTTATGACCTGCTGCAAACAAGATTCATAGCCATAGACCAGCTGACAGATTTCCTGAGGAATCTTAGCCCATTGATCATGATCAATGGCCTCCAGTACAGTAATAATCGTGGATTTGCATGCTGCCACTGCCTTCTTCAAATCCTACCATAGATTTTCTATGTGGTTCAAATCAGGTGACTATGATGGCAACTGCAAGATTTTCCAGGACTTCTTCTGCAACCAAGCCTTGGTGAAATTTAAAGGAATGCTTGGCATTATTGTCTTGTTGGATGGTCCAATGACACCTAAGCTGCAGCTTCCTCACAGACGGCATGATGTTACTTCAATGAATCCATCTTGCCTTCCATGTTTCCAGTGCCAGAGGATGCAAAGTATCACTGAACCACCAGTGTTCTTTTCAGCATATGCTTCATTCTTCTTCCTCCAAACACACCGCTGATCCAGTGGACCCGAAAAGATTCCGTTTTCTTTCACTGCTCCACAGAACAGAATTCCAAAACATCTATTGCTTTTTTATTTGATTTTGAGCATATTAGAGTTGACTTCTCTTATGTTTTTGAGTCAGTGGTTTACATCTTGGAGTTCTGGTATGGAAACCTTCTAAGTTTAGTATGCTCCTTACTGTGCTGACTGAACTCTCAGTGCCTGTTTCCACCAAGTCTAGTTGCAGGTCTTTTGCCGTCACTTCAGGGTTTTACACAACCTGCCTTCTCAGGAATCTGGTTGCAGCCATTGATAGCTTACTTTTTCTGCCACATTCGGGTAGTGTAACCACTGTCCCTTTAACTTTGAACTTTAACTATACTTCCAACTGTGTTTCTAGCGCCATTCGGTGCCTTCGCTATCTTTTTATATCATGTTCCTTATTTGTGAAGGGTGTTGATCTTCTCTTAACTTTGTGGACCATTCTATTGACCTAGCCATATTTCTAACATGCAGTCAAATGGGACACAAAAGAAATCCCTGGCCAGTTCAGGCATTGTAAGTGTTCCTGCTCAATTACACCTAGTGCAACTAATGTAGCCCTCTGCTTGAGACAACACCTGTTTTGCATATTTGTGCTGTTGTGAGGGCTTCTATTCAGGGGGTTGAATAATTTTGAGACTGGAGTTGCATTTTCAGTGGATTTTATGGAAACCACTTGAAGCATTCATTGTGTTGAGCCATTTTAATTGCTTCTGTTCGATTTGTTCATTGCAAACCACCGAAGGTCTGTAAATTTTGGCAATAGACCTGATTTTCAATAATATATATATTCATATGTATTGATGTATATGTACTTAAATCTCATTAAGCAATTATGGTGATTATTATACTGATATATTTTTTATACATCTGTAATGTTGATGATCCCTACAGTACATATTGTTTGTTACTTATTAATATTATTATTATTATTTTTTATATAATTGTTTTTATCTCTGTTGTTATCTTAATGCTCCATATTGTAATATTTTGTATATACTTGCAATACTGACAATGTATATTTGTCATATCTATTTATTATTTTTTTTACTTTGAGGCTCTACACTAATTAGCACAATGTGTATTTAAGCATGGCTGCAACATCAGTCTGCAATATGTCTCTGAAGAAGTGAGGCTATTTCCTCACGAAACGCGTTAGACTGAAGCATCTCTTTGAACTGTGCTAGTAACCAGCATTAGAAGCACCCACTTGCTCAGGACCCTTGGTGAACCTGTGGACTTAGACTATTCACTGTGCACAGCCCCCGGAGTGAGGTCCGTGTTGGGACGCACACATCGATCTGTACGCCGTCCTCAACCGGCAGACAGACCACAGAGCACCAGAGCAACAGCTGCCAAGTCAATCCACATCCATCCTGGCTGATTCCGAGGGTCTGTGAATATTTGTGGACTTCACTGGACTGGTAACATTTGCACATGAATTGACCATCATTTTTGATTAATTCATATTTTAATCTATATTTATTTTTAATAAACTGGACTGCATTTCTATCCAGTTTATCTCTTTCTACATTGTATCCACGCTACATTATTTATTTTAGCACACAGTTCCTCATACTGTAGTGCCTGTTTTGCAACTTTGTCTATACAAAGCATATTATTTAGGTGCAAGTATTAACTATCTGTTATCCTGTATCTTTTCAGGGACAGTATTTTACTGCACCTTGCACTGTTAGGAGCATTTATTTTTATTTTATTTTAATCATTTATTTTCTCTTATCTGATTCATTCTCTGTTTTTATATATCACATATGATTAAGTTTTAATATCTATCAGTTACATTTTAGAGTCCTACCCTGTATATATTTTTCTTAAAGGCATAGTACCCATTTTTGAGTTCCATTTTTTAGTCACATTTTTATTGTTACATCCTTGAAGTATTTTATACAGATTTTATCCAGCATTTCATATCCAGATTTTTGAGTCATATGATTTAGTTTTAGAATTTATCAGTTACATTTTAGAGTCCTACCCTTGATATATTTTTCTTAAAGGCATAGTACCCATTTTGAGTCCCCTTTTTAGTCATATTTTTAGTGTTATATCCTTGAAGTATTTTATACAGATTTTATCCAGCATTTCATATCTGGATTTTTGAGTCATATACTAATTAGCTCCTAGGTCTTTTGCATTTTTTAGTGTTTTTCCACTTTTTAGTGCTTTTTATTTATTTATATTTTTTTATTCTATATAGGTTTTAGTGGAACCCTATCTTCCTAGTTAGTAGCTATTTCGTTTTAGTCCTCCTCCCTCTTTGCTGTGTATCACATTAGGTGTACCAGATCTATATATATATATATATATATATATATATATATATATATATATATATTGCACTATTATCTGTTTATATTATTGTTTGTAGACTTTAAGTATAATTTCGAGAGTTTCTCACTTTCATATGACAATGTAAAATAGATAAGCATTCCTGTGAGTTGCACTAGCAATATTACTTGTACACATTTACTTTTTATTCTAGCTACTTTTATTCTAAATTTAAATATCAAACTTGCAGTAAAAAAATATAAAATTCCTGTTTTTTCTATTTTTTCTTAACTCTTTTTGCTCTTACTTTTATAAGAGTTTAATCCATTTTTTTCTTAGTTATAAAGAAGTTATGAAACTTCTATAAAAGGAATGTATACCTTCTTCACAAAACAAAATATCCAATAGTCAAATATCCACTGATTTGGAATTTTTCAAATTCATTAAAATGACTGAAGTGTTGTAACTATCAACTCCCTATTTTTTTGATTACGTATTTAAAGTTCATACAGTAAAATTCATGCAAAACACGCCAATTAGTCTTCAAAATGCAATAAATATAGGATAAGTGAAGAACAAATTATTTAAAAAAAGCCGAGCTGTCAAAAGTATTAGCACAGTAGTATAATAGCATATTGAAATAACAAAAAATAGACTAGATAGATGGAGAGGGACATGTTTATTAGACTTGTGCACAGTGAGAAGATTTGTCTGCTACCCTACATAGATCTGATGGCTATTTATTGGAACTACCAGGTCCAGAAGTATTTTCTACATGCTAGGACTAGAATGCTCAGGTTCAGGATACACTGACTCAAATTTAGAATTTTAGTCTGATGTACATATTTTCCTGTTTTCGACTTTCCTAAAAAAGTAATGCAAAAGGTGACAGTGGAAGACCGTGTCGACTCTAATTCCTATGAGGAATAAGATGATTCTGGAACCTCCAAGGGAAATTCCAGTACGTCCAGACCTATTACAAGGCCCCTTGACACACCAGGATCCTCAAGTTCTGGTGTTGATGCGGGAGTCCATATTAGTATAGGCATCCCTGAGACGGTCATTGAGATCCTCTTACTATCCTATACAGGCTTTACAAAACTAGACATGCTTTGTCTGTTGGAATTACTCCTCATTCAGGCCTTGAAAGGTTCTGTGTTATAACACTCTAGAGGAGCACTTAGCTGCACTTTGCTTCATATAGGCATTGATTGAAATCATGCCTCCACTGAGTGTGGTGAAGCCAATATGTGACGTACCACTGGTCTCAGGGGCCCTGACTAAACCATTATTCGAACCTCTAGAAGGAGCTTCCATGGTGGTAGCACAGAAAGTGCTGTTGGCTGGTACCCCAGCAAGGAAAATGGGTGAACTCTAGGCTTGATCCTGTGAACCCCCTTTCACTACTTTTCAACAGAGATGGTCGTCTTGCATTTGGCACCTGAAGATCCTGCCTATGGTGAATGCTTATCTATGTCATTCTCTACCTGTACTGAAGGGTACCCATTGAGCGTTGATGCCCTGGTGCTTTGCTTCATGTAAGCAACAGTTGAACTCAAGCCTCCGCTGAGGTTGTTGAAACCAATATGTGACATACCACTGGTCTCACGGGCTCTGACTAAACCATAATTTGAACCTCTAGCAGGAGCTTCCATGATGTTAGCACAGACGTTGCTGTTGCTGGTGGTTGGTACCTCAGCAGGGTGAATGTGTGAACTCCAGGCTTGAACCTGTGTACCCCATTCACCGAATTTCAACAGGATATGGTTGTCTTGCATTTAGCACCAGAGATCCTGCCTACAGTGAGAGCCTTTCAATGCCATTCTTTAACTGTACCAAAGGATTTCGGGGCATTCTCTACTAGTGCTGTTGCAGCATCTCATGGGCTTCCATGGCGATGGTCTCTGCTGAAACTTTGTAAAGTTGGCATCTGGACCTCTTTGAACTAGTTTGTCCTGCATTACATATTAGATATTGAAGCAATTAATGAGGCACAATTTGGACGTTACGTCCATTCTCTACCTGTGCTGGAGGGTATCAGGGCACTCTCCTCTCATGCTGTTGCAGCATCGTGGGTTTCCATGGCAATGGTTTCTGCTGACACTTTTTGTAAGCTAGCATTTGAACCTCTTTAGACATGTTTGACTGGCATTTCATACTGTTCGTTAAAACAGTCTATGATGCACAATTTGGTACTCAAGTACTTAACTCAGTTCATGCTTCTATCTATGTTGAATTATTCTGATTATTTGATGGGCTATTCTGTCCCTCCCTTTGTAAGCTTGGGTATTCCCCATGTGTATATGCTGCCATGATTAGCCAGGAAAGTGGAAAATGTATTCATACTTACCGTAATTTTCTTTTCCTGGCTATTATTCATGGCAGCATATACTTCCCACCCATTAATGTCTCTATTTATGTACTGTAGAGCTTGTAAACTGACTGAGGACCTTAGGGATGGAGCCTCCTTTTAAAACCTTGGTGGTTTTCCTGTCCTATTGGCTGTAAGGGGAGGAGCTAACCCATGTGTATATGCTGCCATGAATAATAGTCAGGAAAAGAAAATTACGGTAAGTATGAATACATTTTCCACTTTACATATATATATATATATATAAATATGTACATATTTTGCTGAACATGGATTAGCTATTTATTTTTACCCTTTTGGTTTATCTGATTTGTGTCTGAAGAGAGTTTTCAGTACCACAAATCTGCCAAGCAGAATCAACATGTGGCCACATTTCAGATGAAAAATGTGCTATTTTCTAGAAAAAAATGGTTTGACCAAAACAAATATTCTCATTGTGCACAAGTCTAATAAACATGTCCCTCTCTGATGTGATTTATTAAAAAAAAATTACATACAGCAAATAAATCGGCATTTCGACCCTGCCGGGTCTTTTTCAAGATATCTTGAAAAAGACCCGGCATGGTCAAAACATTAATTTATTTGCTGTATGTAACTTTTTTTTAATAAATCACATCGTACAATTTAAAAGACCTGTGAGTGCATCCTGGATCAATATTTTTTCTATATTTTGGATGCAAATGGATTAGCACCCATGCTATTATTATCATCATATTCCTGGTAAGGAGAGTGCCAAGCTACCACTTATTGTGTGTGTGTGTGTGTGTGTATGTATGTGTGTGTATGTATGTATGTATGTATGTATATATATATATATATATATATATATATATATATATATATATATCTACACACACAATAAGTGGAAGCTTGGCACTGTGACCTTCAATAACCTTCCACCTTTATTCACAGTAAAGTTAGGTACATTGAAGTTTCAGTTTCTAAAGACTTTTATCAGGATGTAATATATATTTTGCAGTACACTGATAGGAGCATTTTTGGGCAATTTATTCAGAGATCAAAAAGCAAATCCAGAAGTGGAGCGATGTTTAGAGAATAAGCTTCATACCACATGCACATAAAATGAGGAAAAATGGTAAGTATACTTATGTTACCAGTATTTGGAACTCACAAAGCCAGATCAGTATGGTACATATGAAAAAGAAAATCAGAAAAAGTAATAGTGCAGATCTGTTGAGATGTTTTGTTGCACTTATAGCAATTATGTCTTAAACATATTCATTATGCTCAGTATTAATATTAATGGTAAGAAATAACAATTTATTTTCATACAATAGTTAAAAAGTAACTTAAACAGAATAAAATATTAAAAATAGCAAAAGTAAAAAGCAACTAGATTACTGCTTACAAGAACAGGTGGTGAGTAAAACGGTATGTATTCTCGTTTACTCACAGACACGCTTTTCTACACTGGGGATCTCCCATGCAGATGTTAGATTCGTCCAGGTGGGTTATAGAGAAGTTCCAAGGTCTAGCTGTCTGGCCACCATTCTTACTTCCCGGCTGTGTTTGGCTCCGCCCACCTCGGTACGAAATGATGTCACGTCTACGTGTTTCGCCATACACAGACGGCTTCGTCAGGACATTAGAAGCTAATTCCCCCCTTATCATTAAGGGCTTTTGTAGCAGCAAATGTTCATTTTTTTATTGGTTCAGTCCCCAAACCTTAATTTGCATAATGTGTACCTCACACGGTTTATGGAACCACTTGTTAATTTAAAGTTACAGTCAATTACAATCAATTACATATCTAAACAGATCAAGTGAAAAAAAAAACAGGGAAAATAGAAGGAGCAGCATAAAAAAAATAAAAAATACAGAGAGTAATAAATCCCAGGTTTGAAATGGGTCTCTCTGGAGCTTTTCCACCCGACCAGGCTGCAGCTCTCCTTCCAGGCAGGTATTGTCCCCTCTATATATTCCGCTACAACCCTTCTTCCAGACGGGTCTCGTCCCCTCTGCCTATTTTGCTGCAGCCCTTCTTCCAGGCAGGTATTCACCTCTACCTGCAATGTGATTTCTATTACCTTTAGAAAGGTACTTGCAGCATTCAGGACTAGCTCTTTTGATTTATCAAGCCAACAAGTCCAAAAACTCTGTTACTGGGTTCCTTAAAAATCTACACAGGACACAAAGTTCCAAAAGGAACTTATATACTATAATTTATTTTACTTGGGACTAACCCATACATTCGTTACATCAACCTTGCTGTGACAAAGTCAATAAAATACACTTAACCAAATCATATCTGAAAACATACAGGAACGTTTAATAAATAACAACATGTTTATAAATGGGTGGGGAAGACAATATCTAACACAAAATATCTCTCCTGTCTGCAGAATTAGAAATATAAGAAAAAGTGAACCTAGAGCAGAAATGTCCAGGATACACGGATAGGATATTTCAGAGTTTTCTATAACTGATAAAAACCATAAGTTTATTAGTCATCATAAACAAAGACAAACCAAAAAATAATAAAAAACCCACTACCCCAAAAAATAAACACATGAAGAGGAAATAATGAAGCTCAGTAGGCTAGGAAGGGGAGGCCAAATGAAGTGGCAATACCAAAAGTAAGATACTCCTATATGGCATATAAGCCACCTATAGACGGAATATGAATAGATATAGAACCTATATAGGAGACATGATAAAACTCCAAGTGCCCCTAGTGTAAAGCCAATCAGTTGTAAAGTCCTAGAACTGGTAATACAAATATGCACCAAACAAGCATCCAGCTAAACACTCTAGTCCCATTAACCCAGATATAGCAAATCTCTCGACATAAAATAGTGAACAGCTAATTCCAAGTGATTGTCCATACTAAACGTATGCACATAATGTGCTAAAAGCTATCCATTACTAATCCTGTGTATAGGAAGGCTACTGAGTAATTGGGAGACAAAATCCCTTTCTAAACATAGCTTAAATCCGGCTTCTATTCCCCATAAATAAAATTAACACCCCAAGCAGTGCTAAAATAAAAATAAAAACTATATAGGTTCTATAGCTATTCATATTCCGTCTATAGGTGGCTTATATGCCATATAGGAGTATCTTACTTTTGGTATTGCCACTTCATTTGGCCTCCCCTTCCTAGCCTACTGAAACCCTGCTCAAAACCCTCCCGCAACAAATCCGCAGCGCCCTTATCACCATAACAATCTAGCCATGGCAGCATCGTGTTGAGTCTCACAGGAGTTCTGCCTGGTGGCTGTGTTGGCAGCCCCTGCTGCAGCAGTCCCTGTGGGGGCCACACCATGCCCCCCCCGCTTAAAACATGTGTTGAGGCCATTGCAACCCCCGCATCCTGAGCATTCATGCTTGAACCGACAAGCTGATCCCCATTTGCACTGGTCCTCAGCCAGCACACACCCTTCTTAAAGGCGACAGACGTGGCAAACTGTTCCCCCATGCCGGCCGCATACTGAAAGGGTGGGTGCGTTCTGCGCCATTATCAGCTTCTTACATAGATTCATCATCAGCTTCTTACATCAGCTTCTTACATTTGGTCCCACCTCATACCCTGCTCAGAACGAAAGTGTGAAGAAAATAGACTTTTACCTGTTATTTTCTCCTTTAGTTATTCGGTATTTTTATATGTGAATACTTGTATATTTAATGGATTGGTTCGGTAGTTTGAAACTACCGAACGCCGACCACCCTCCTGACTCATTTACTTCAAAGAGACTAGCTATTAAGTGCTCCCTGGGCGGCCGCTGTTCGTATAACCGAACGCCACGTGGAAAAGAAAACGGCGGCCATCTTGTTCGCACGAGGAGAGCCAGCGAGATTTGGTCGTCAAGTGTCTGGAACTAAAATCGGACACTCGACCTCACGAACTACCGCTGGAAACTACCAAACACCGGCTTCTCATACTTCCCGAACAGCCAGGAGAGCCTCATTCGGTAGTTCTGTGCGAACGGACAAGGGGAGCAATCGCTACTATGAGCCAGGGGAATCCATTCGGGACTTTTGTTCGTTTTTTGCAGTTTTGTGAATTGACCGACCGCACATGCTGAATTCATGGAACTGTTTTGGGCAGGAGCTGCGTGTGTGGCTGGTAAATGGGACCCTCCACACTTTTTCAGAACCCCTGAACCGATCTGGGTGAAATTTGGATACGTTTGTCCCCCAGATCGGGGTTATCAAGGGATATGTAATTTGTGGGGATACCTTGTGGGGAAAGGGGTGTTCTAAGTTTTGGGGAAATTGTGTGCTCTCTGCCTGGAGATAATTGGTTTATTCCTTAACTTATCTCAATATCTCCCAGGCAGAGAGGAGGCGTGTAATACTGTAAATTTGTGTGATGATTGGCTGTTGCTTTTGTTTGCTGTGGGAGGTCCTCTTGCAGGAGGATTTCTCATAAAAGCCCGTGTGTTTTCAATAGAGACTATTCCTGTTACACCCTTCATGAAGTCTAGGCTCATGTTTCGGGGATATTCTACCTGCTGGGAAGAATCACCTTGGAACTGCATTTCATCTATTCTATTCCTCCACTCCCTGCTGCAGCTATAATCACTCATGCTCAGCTGTTGGGAGAGGGAAGCAAGACCGCAGCACCATAACCACTGCAGGTCTTAACAGAAAGCATTGCGATTACCCTCACGACAACCATGTAGACAGGACGCCCCACTGACCCTACCACTGGGGCTCCTACTCCTGCAATCTGACCTAGGGGACCTGCTGCGTGACACCATACTGGAACTCACCGAATGAACCCCCCAGGAAGTGCCTGCCTCAGATGGCGGTTCGGAACCAGACGCATGCAGGGGCTCGCCATGACCAACACCTGGCCCTCACCTCCTAGCCCTCGGTGACATCCCACCTCTGTTACTGGACCTTGGGGGGGGAACCAGCCGAGATCTATGCGCTTCACTGTAGGACCTGCGTCTCCTTGCAGTGAGCCCGTCACCAAGGGCAGCTCCCACTCACCCCCGTGTACCCGCCGGAGCACTGGGAGCCAGCATGGCTGTCTGTTACCCTGTCCAGCCACCAACCAGGCCGCTGCACTTGGTCCTGTGGCAGCCCCTCCATGAACGGGGCTAAGCCTTTGGGGAGGCCTCCTGCTCCTCGCCGGGCGGCTCAGACCGCCGCCATCTTGAGCCGCCGCCAACACCGACCAGAGATGATCCTTCAGCCAGGCTGCTCCATGAGTCCTCATCAGCTCTCTGATCCCCTCTACAAGCTTGTCCACGGCATCCATCAGCAGAAACACAAAAAAAAAACTACCAGACCCAATCCGTGGACACAAAGTGCACACAAATTCAGCCAGGTAAGCAGATTAAATGTGAAGAATATTAAAATGTCTGCCTATATATATACTAACCCCCCCCATTAACTAGCAACCAATCCCACAATACCTTCCACCTAAGCCTGCCTCCTTACTCTGTCGGGGCCCCTTTCCACTAAGCTGCGCTCTTTTACATGGGACTTCAGGAATGGTCAGGAAAATTAATATAAAACACATTTTGGCAAATTGCCACAGAGTTGAAGCTGTGTTGATACATTATTAATAAAAAGGTGATAAATTATAATAATACAGTAAAATTTTATTAAGATATTTAATACATAGCAAAACACATTTTAAGCTAAATATTCATATAAAAATGTATAACATTGTGAAAATAATGTTTTGTTTTGATGGGTATAAAATGCAACTGTCACTAAAAAGCAGTAATTTAACAGTTTTAAATTTATTTTTCATTCAAGAACCTAAGAGACATTTGAGCTTTAGCATGAATTTTAGCACCCGGCAAAATGTGCAGTGCATAACAGAAGATTAATTTGATATTATTGTTCATTTCATACTGTCCAATGAGGCTTCTTTGCCTCGGGCCTGGCAAAAACTGAATTGGAGAAATGAAATATTGCAAGATAAAACAAACACAAGAGGCATAGTGCTGTTGCACTGACTAAAAAATAGAAATAGATTACCAGCATAAATCCTTAGGCATATATATTCATCAGTACAGAGTTGGCCTTTTTCCTTTGAGCTTTGTCTATTGTAACTGAATTTCCAATGTATTTAGGGAAGAAACCAGTGTGACTTTTCCAAGAGACAAAGTTGAACAATGCTAACACGATAGATTCTAAGATAAGAAACATTAACACTCTTTACAATAAGCCATATCATTCTACCATTATTATTATTTTTATTGGTATTTATATAGCGCCAGCTTATTCCGTAGTGCTTTACAATAAAAGGGGAATTTACCAAATGAGGCAATAACAAAATGTAACAGGAACAATAGGTAGTTGAAGAAACCCTGCTCAAACGAGCTTACAGTCTTGAAGAGGTGGGGTATAAAAACAAAATAGGTAGGGTATTGAGAAAGACAGCAAACAAAAAGTAGGGAAAGTAGCAGAACTGGAGGTGAGAATTTTTTGGCTAAAAAGTCACACAAAGTAGTAATTAGAAGAATGCAATTGTGATTTTTTTTTGTGCTGATAATGGCAGTCAAGATGGCTATGAATATAACTCAATATCGTTATGTATGAACTTAGTGAAACTCAAAGCAATCACTATTTGATGTTCAGTAAAGAAGGTGCTCAGAAGGATGATATAAAGTATATGCCTTTAAATCTTCTTCCAAAGTTTTATTTTATCATTTTTTTTAAAAAAAATTGGGGGGGAGGTTCACATGATGATACAATACACAGTGTGCCGATAACCACATGTATGTTTTATTTTCTAGCGAATAGCTTGATATTTCACATAGACACACAAAGAAACCAGTAGAAGAATGTTTGAACTTAGTGAAACTTAAAGTATTCACTACTTGATGTTGGGTAAAGAAGGTGTTCAGAAGGGTGATATAAAGTATATACAAATAGTGTTTTTAAAGGGCAATATATCCCAGTGGCCAAGAGAGCAAGAGGCTGGCAAGCAGGCCTCTCCAAATCCCAGTGACGAAGGTGCTTTCAGTATACCTTTTTAATAGGTGTTTGCATTTAGCACTTTATTACTATTGTGGTATTGGTATTATAGATTGGGTATGAACTACTTTATGCACTTTCTTTCTGTCAAAATTAATTGATGTATTTTCTCAATGTATGAATAAACATTCTTTATATGCAAACCTTGGTGTGCCTTGGGATCATTATTATTTCTATTGTGTGTATATATATATATATATATATATATATATATATATATATATATATATATATCAGGTTTGGGAACTGATTTTTTTCCTTAAAGAGCACCCAGTACTTTTTATACCACATTACTTCTCACCCACTTTCAGTTGAACTTTTCTTACAATTATATATTCTGATATAACGTATATGTCTTTAAATCCTCTTCCAAAGTTTACATTTATCTTTTTTGGGGGGTAGGTCCACATGATATAAGACACTTATCTAAATTGTATTACACAGTGTGTAGATAATGACACAAATGTTTTATTTTTGAGCAAATAGATGGATACTTTTGACCAAGAGATCTTTTGACCAAAAGTCATGTTCAGAAGACACCAGAAGAATGCAATCAGTATATATGTTTTTTTTTTTTTTTACACAATGCTATAAAATACTAAATTTTTATTACATAGTGTGCAGATAACCATATGAATATTTATTATTCGAGCTAATAGCTTGATATTTTTTACTAAAAAAGTCACATAAAGAAGCTATTTGAAGAATGTAACCAAGAGAAGGGGGGCAAGAGAAAAAAGGTCTGGGAGAAGAGCAGTGGAAGTCACCCCCCTTCCCCATGACATAATTAGGTGAGACTGGCCGACTGACTGACTTCCCTGTCTGCTCTGTGCTGGATGCAGGTTCCAGGTTCCAAGCTCCTGCCCACCACTTCCTGGCCCAAGGTAAGACTCATGGGTGGGGGGATACACTTACTATAGTTTTTTTTTGTCAGCCCATGCCCCCATCTACAACCCCTTCCCACCCCTTCTTTATTCCCTGTGCCTCCTAGCAGCCCCTGTCCCCTCTATAGCCCCTGTTCCCCCTTTTACAGCCCCTGCCCACGCCTTTTATAGCCCTTGTGCCCCATTTACAGCCCCTTCTTATCCCTTCTACAGTCCCTGTGTCCTCCCTTCTACAGCCCCTGTGTCCTCCCTTCTACAGCCTCTGCCCACCTCTTCAATAGCCCCTGTGCCCCCTTTACAGCCCCCCACCACAGCCCATATACCCCTACCACAGCCCATATCCCACATTCTACAGTGCATGTGCCCCCCTTTATGCCCTTACCCCCCTCTCTACATCCCCTGCCCCCTCTCAGCCCCTGTGCCCCCTCTCAGCCCCTGGCCCCTTTCAACACCTGCCCCCAGCCCCCTCTCAGCCCCTGCCTTCCCCTTTATACAGCCCTGTTGTGCCTTCCCTTCCTACAGTCCCTGTGCCCTGCCTTCTGGTCCCTGTGCCCTGCCTTCTACAGCTTTCTCCCCACCCCTTCAGCCTCTGTGGCCCCACCGGCCAGCCCCTCACTACAGCCATGCCCCCACTCTACCGCCCACGCCCCCCTTTTACGCCCCTGTCTCCCTTTCTACAGCCATGTCCCTCTTTCTACAGCCCCTGTGTCCCCATCTCAGCCCCTGCACCCCCTTCTATACCCATGTGCCTCCTCTCAGCCTCTGCCCCCCTTTAAAGCTCCTATCCCCCTTAACAGCTCCTGTGCCTTCCCTTCTTCAGCTCCTGCCCACCCCTTCTACAGCCCCCGTGTGTCCTCCCCTCTACAGCCCCTGTGTGTCCACCACCTCAACAGCCCCTGTCCCCCGCACATACCTTGTCCCCCTTTGTACATCCCCTATCCCCCATCACAGCCCCTGACCCCTTATAGAGCCCCTGTGCCCCCATCTACAGCCCCTTTCCCCCAGGAATAAGGTGGTCACCCCCCCTTTTTTAAAGGGGGGGAAGCCGCAAAATGCTACTTTGCCTGTGTCACCAAAACTCCTTGTACTGGCCCTGAGTGGAATTATAGTGGTAACAGAACCTAGGCCCTTTCTAGAGTGTTAATAGAGGGAACCTGTTCTCTTTCTCTTGTGCTTGAGGGAAACTTTTATTTTTTGTATTAGGGAGCCTCATCCTATTGCTGCTTCTAACCCCAATCAACACAGCATGAGTGGTGGGAAATTAGGGACACAACATTTACTTTTTCCTCCCTAATATTCTGTCAATGTTTATAAATATTTTTCATGAACATTAATTAAATTAATTTCCAAACCTGTACCCACAAGACATTGAGTGTTGACAGTGCTAGGCTCAGGCCTCCCTGTCATCTTGACACCTTGTGAATTGATTTATCAGAAGGTGATAGGTGGCTAGGGATAGAGGAGGAGGCATGTCTCCTGTCCAGTCCTGGTTAATACATGTCTGGTGACCCTATTTTGGATTTAATATTTTTGGTTTTCCTGCTTCTTGTGCAGCCAGAGGCATTTATGTATTGTGGGACTAGGTTTTTACAGGTAGATGTGTCTTTTTAAGAACAGGTGTTACATATTGTTCCCTGCACTTTACCCAATCCATCCACTTATAAAATATTTTCCTTTAAACTCTGGTTAATCACTATGAATAAAAGGTATTGCGGGTAACTTGGTTGCACAATTGATGGCACTTCCATTGAGTTCACTGTGGACAATTTGGATAAACTGTAGACAGTAATTATCTAATGCATATACTACATTTTGTTTTTGTGATTTTAATAATTGCAAACGCTTACATAACATCAAACAGAATCAGACCTTGGTTAAATCTTAAAAAATAAAATAAAACAACATTTCCATATAATCGGTAAGTCATCATTTACTGAAATGTTGGTTTCATATTTGATACATTGTTTGTTCAAAAGATATATTCAGTGAAGGATTCATTGTCTTGCAATTTAACGATGGACAAACACCAGTTTTATAACTAAAATAAATTTGGTTAAAAAACAAATTGCCCATTTGGTCAGCTAAAACAGCAGGAAAAATACTGCAAATGACTGTGCAAACATGAAAAAATGGCTATATGCTTGCCTGGCCTAATAACTACGGTATGTAATAGTTGATAACCACCCATCCTTTCACCCAGGCAAAAAATATGTTTTCCCACTCATTTAGTCTGTGGCAAGAGTGACCGTCCTTCAGTCTGGGAAAAAAAAACTGTGGCAGTTAGGGGCATACCTACTATACACTACAAACCAGTGACTGGATAGCCAGTGAAGCCTAGTTGCTCAAAAGGCCTTATCCCATGGGGCGGGGATCTCTAAAACAA